ACGTTGATTGCTTTCTCCTTACCGTATCTACTCCGGCTGTAATTAAAGAAGTTCTTAAAGTCTTGAAGATTTAACGATCTCTTTATGCCGTCGATGTACGTTGAAAATCTCGCTGCATTCAAATGGACATCTAGTATAATTATATCTATATATACAAAAATTAAATTGCAGTAAAACCTCGATATGACGGACTAATATTGGGAAGGGAGTGTTCGTTATAACCAAAAGTTCGTTATATATGACACATTTTTACTTGGCATTCTACGACAGCTATCTATATTGTGGGTTTATATTTATACCAAGGACGGTAGAGTCTAAGAGGGCAACTACATCTCACACGGAACAAGTACATAGCTCAAAGGCCCGTTCGTGACGTCAGTCGTTGAGCCGTACGTCTCTTAAGATGGCTAATCCCGTTTGTTTCTAGTTCAAGGTCTAGTGCTGGTATTAAATGTAGGTTAAGTTATTATTCAGCGCTAGGTTTATTTTTATTGGACTACAACTAGAACTAACACTAGACCTAGAACTAGAAACATTCGGGTAAACTCGGGTAAACCTGACGCTTTCTAGTTCTAGGTCTAGTGTTAGTTCTAGTTTTAATTGTTATTCAACGCTACGTTGTTATACATAAATTTTTATTGAACTAACAGTAGAACTAATACTGGACCTAGAACTAGAAACATTCGGGTTTAGCCCTGAAACTGTGATATTTTTACTGTGAATGTGGATAAATGTAAAGAACAATAAGCAGATGGTGTTTTGTGCCAGAGCAATTCAAGTTAATGTAAACACAAGAACATACCCAAATAGCAATGGATAGTATAAGTATAATACAGTTAAATCATAACAGAAGATGGGATACATCATACACATGTCCTTGTGGAAGCTATGACAGAACAAAGGAAGTTGGATGTGATTGTAGTGCAAGAACCAAATAAAAGAAGAGCGGAACAACTACAGACGGATCTCGGCTATGACTGTTTTATTCAATTTGGAAAACATATAAGGAGACCGGTTCCATGGAGAAGGGGAAGAGGCTATGTGTCAACCGAATTAGAAAAATGGGTAATAACCTCCGTAAATTTCTCACCAAACAAATCGAACCAAAAATTTTAAGAACTTTTAGACAAGATAGAAGCTGACTTCAGGAGGATCAGAAAACCGATACTCATTGCGGGAGACCTAAACGCAAGAATGGTTACGGCGGGGGCAGGATAGCAAATAGAAGAGGACAAATTTTGGAAGAATGGATGATCAAGAATCAACTGGCATTACTTAATGAGGGGACAGAATCAACATACAATAGTCCCAGAGGATCGTCTGTAGTTGATGCGACGATCGCAATTGAGGATATGGCAGCAAAAATAAAAGAATGGAGAGTTGATACAGAGATGGAGACATTAAGCGACCATACCCCAATAGTCTTTAATGTCCAAAAGTTCGTAGAAAGTACGGGAATAAGAAAGGTGGTAAGATGATGGAGAACTACATCAGAACTTTTTATGAAAACACAAAAGAAATTTCTTTCTGTGATCTGATAATGTTGACAGAAATCGTGATGACAGTATGTGAATAAACATGAACAACATAGGACAGAAGAAGGAACAAGTATATTGGTGAAACAACAATGTGGCGGAAGCAAGAGTTGTGTGTATAAAGAAAAGGAGATAATTGCAAAGGATTAGGAGAGGACGTCATGGTGCGGAGGAAATAGAAAGAGCTAATCAAGAATAAAAAGAAGCGAAGAAAATCTTGGTTAACACTATCGAAAAGAATAATGAAAAGAAATGGAAAGACGATTAGGAAACAGTATCTAAAACTATTTCCAGCTATAATACTGACAGCTGACAGTGGGCGTGAAAGTGATGAGGAAGAAGAAAATCTATTAGAACCTTTTACAACGGAGGAACAAAAGAACAGCTTAGATCAGCTAAAGCAGAGGTGCGCCAAGGGAAGATGGACTGACCAACGCAATAGTTAATGTATGCATGAAGAAATCTCACAGATATTTCTGAATAACTACAATCAGTGTTGGAATATAGGGGGGAATTTGGGGAGAAAGCAACACTTGTTTTGTTTAGCAGTCTTAAGAGACGTTCGGCTAAACCTGAATGTTTCTAGTTCAAGGTCTAGTGTTAGTTCTAGTGCTAGTATTAGTTCTAGGTTGAGTTGTTATTCAGCGCTAGGTTTATTTTTATTGGACTACAACTAGAACTAACACTAGACCTAGAACTAGAAACATTCGGGTTTAGCCCTGAAACTGTGATATTTTTACTGTGAATGTGGATAAATGTAAAGAACAATAAGCAGATGGTGTTTTGTGCCAGAGCAATTCAAGTTAATGTAAACACAAGAACATACCCAAATAGCAATGGATAGTATAAGTATAATACAGTTAAATCATAACAGAAGATGGGATACATCATACACATGTCCTTGTGGAAGCTATGACAGAACAAAGGAAGTTGGATGTGATTGTAGTGCAAGAACCAAATAAAAGAAGAGCGGAACAACTACAGACGGATCTCGGCTATGACTGTTTTATTCAATTTGGAAAACATATAAGGAGACCGGTTCCATGGAGAAGGGGAAGAGGCTATGTGTCAACCGAATTAGAAAAATGGGTAATAACCTCCGTAAATTTCTCACCAAACAAATCGAACCAAAAATTTTAAGAACTTTTAGACAAGATAGAAGCTGACTTCAGGAGGATCAGAAAACCGATACTCATTGCGGGAGACCTAAACGCAAGAATGGTTACGGCGGGGGCAGGATAGCAAATAGAAGAGGACAAATTTTGGAAGAATGGATGATCAAGAATCAACTGGCATTACTTAATGAGGGGACAGAATCAACATACAATAGTCCCAGAGGATCGTCTGTAGTTGATGCGACGATCGCAATTGAGGATATGGCAGCAAAAATAAAAGAATGGAGAGTTGATACAGAGATGGAGACATTAAGCGACCATACCCCAATAGTCTTTAATGTCCAAAAGTTCGTAGAAAGTACGGGAATAAGAAAGGTGGTAAGATGATGGAGAACTACATCAGAACTTTTTATGAAAACACAAAAGAAATTTCTTTCTGTGATCTGATAATGTTGACAGAAATCGTGATGACAGTATGTGAATAAACATGAACAACATAGGACAGAAGAAGGAACAAGTATATTGGTGAAACAACAATGTGGCGGAAGCAAGAGTTGTGTGTATAAAGAAAAGGAGATAATTGCAAAGGATTAGGAGAGGACGTCATGGTGCGGAGGAAATAGAAAGAGCTAATCAAGAATATAAAGAAGCGAAGAAAATCTTGGTTAACACTATCGAAAAGAATAATGGAAAGAAATGGAAAGACGATTAGGAAACAGTATCTAAAACTATTTCCAGCCATAATACTGACAGCTGACAGTGGGTGTGAAAGTGATGAGGAAGAAGAAAATCTATTAGAACCTTTTACAACGGAAGAACAAAAGAACAGCTTAGATCAGCTAAAGCAGAGGTGCGCCAAGGGAAGTTGGACTGACCAACGCAATAGTTAATGTATGCATGAAGAAATCTCACAGATATTTCTGAATAACTACAATCAGTGTTGGAATATAGGGGGGAATTTGGGGAGAAAGCAACACTTGTTTTGTTTAGCAGTCTTAAGAGACGTTCGGCTAAACCTGAATGTTTCTAGTTCAAGGTCTAGTGTTAGTTCTAGTGCTAGTATTAGTTCTAGGTTGAGTTGTTATTCAGCGCTAGGTTTCTATCCATTTTTATTAAACTGAACCCGAATGTTATTATACAGCCTGATTCAGAGTAAGCGCCTTATTTTTTTTAGCCACACTATGGGTACTACTTTCAAAATATTTGGCAGTAATATGTTTTAGGACACTCTCTACACGATGGTGATATCATATTTTCAATTGGACGAATTATTTCAAAATGGCGACTGTCAACTTTTTTTTTTTAATGGAATGCCGAATGTTTTTTTTATTATTGAGATCTTAAAAGCGTTCTTTTTACGACAGTATTTTGTTTTTCTTAAACATTCATTTCTTTCCCCATCAAAAAGCAACCTAACATTTTAATCTAGTAGCGCATGAATGTTTTACAATCGATGTTATTTTTGTCAAAATAAATAAATAAGTAGATGTTTATTACAAAATAAAGTTTAATTGTTTCTTTTGTGTCTAGCGCTACTTGATATTTGGACAAAAATAACATCGAGTGTAAAACATTCATGCGCTACTAGATTAAAATGTGTGCTTTTTGATGGGGAAAGAAATGAATTTTTAAGAAAAACAAAATACTATCGTATAAAGAATGTTTTTAGGACCTCAATAATAAAAAAAAAATTTTGGCATTCCATTTAAAAAAAAAAAGTTGACAGTCGCCATTTTGAAATAATTCGTCCAATTGAAAATGTGATATCACCATCGTGTAGAGAGTGTCCTAAAACATATTACTGCCAAATATTTTGAAAGTAGTACCCATAGTGTGGCTAAAAAAAAATAAGGCGCTTACTCTGAATCAGGCTGTATATTTTTATTAAACTAACAGTAGAACTAACACTATACCTAGAACTAGAAACAGTCGGCTTTAGCCGTCTTAAGAGACGTTCGGCTAAACCCGAATGTTTCTAGTTCTAGGTTTAGTGTTAGTTGTAGTGCTAGTGTTATATCTAGGTTAAGTTGTTATTCAGTGCTAGGTTGTTGTATATTTTTCTTGAACTAAAAGTAGAACTAACACTTAACTTAGAACTAGAAACATTCTGGTTTAGCCGCACGTCTGTTAAGACGGCTAAACCCGATTTTTAAATTATGTAAATTATATAGAATTATATAAATTATATAGATGCTGATATATTAAATAGATAATAGTAATAGTATAAAGTCCGTTATATCGAGGTTTTACTGCATTACATTTCCTTAGTCGTGTATTTAATCTCAATTTATCTTGGGCATTAATTTAAGGAGTGGTTAGGATAATTTTCGAGCACAATAGGAATACTTACCGTTGACGTAAAGTTGCACAGCGTGTCTGTCGGTGCCCTTATCATTTTCAACTGCCAGATAATATGCTCTTGAGTCTGTTGAATCAGCATCCTTAATCCTGAGGGTTGCTAAATAACAGTCTTCTCTTGCCTCCTGGGTTACATCATCCACCCTATATCGACCTAAATAAATTACAATTTGTTAATTATTACTTAATAACATTTTTTTTAAGAAAGTAACTTGGTTAATATTCAACGAGCTTATAACGCAATAAATTATGTATTCAAACACAGTAAAGGCCGATAAGAAAAGTCATTTAATTTTTTTATGATACATATAAATTTTTATGGAAATTATTTCTTTAAGAATTTTCATTAAATTATTCTCCATGACAAATGAAAATCTATTTAACCGTAGATTACTCGTTGATATGCGAATTGTAACGTGCTTAATCGCCGTTGAACCATTTGTGGGGAATAACAATGAATAAAAGGGGTAAGTTGAGCATGTACGATCGATAATAAAACAGCAATAAATCGAAAGATCGAGGGGACACGGTCTGGGTGAGCAATTCCTCCAGTTAAATAGAGCGAGGTTATTTGTCACTCCAGCGGTATTATTGCCGAAATTTGAACCCGAACTCCGTTGGCGATATTTCCAACGTCTTCTCTTACTACGGCGAATACGTATCTCGTATATTTCACATTCGAAGCTTTAATTTGTTATCGAGGTCCTCATAAACGACCACCGACGAGGTTCGTTCTGCCCGATTACTTCGCGAATTTATGCCAAAAGTTTTTACATCGTGTTTCGTCTACGTGCTCCCCGATAAGACTCTCAAAGAGATTTTCAAAGAACCAGTTAAACTTAACGTACCGACGTTATACGAAGTGACCACTAAAGTTTTGTCGGAAGTACTTCGTTTGAAATTGTTCATTTGATAGCGTAAAATATTTGTTTAAAGTTTATAAATTATCTTAACTCAAGTATACCGGTAGAATTTAAATCTGTGGAAATAATTTTCTGTTTCTTTTTTGAAAAAACAAAAATCTCAAATATAATTCCCCCGGTTTCAATTCTACATCACAAGGAATAAAAGTACGTGATCCAGGCGCGGAACTCTCTTTCGACGTTGTAATTTATAAGCACTTGGTCCCCAGTTTGGGTCACGTAGCCGCCGAGTTTCATTACTTTCCGGTTAATATATCCGGACTTAATATTCTCTTTTTTTTTCAGGAAGGGTCGATGTCTTCTCGGTTCTCATCCCACCACAACTGGATTACCTTCGTTATTTATTACTCACCCATTTCTGCTCCTGCTTCAAGCCTTAGGGATCCCCATTCCCAAGCAACCACCCTAGGTCTTGGATCCGCGCATACGACCAGGCTTATTTTCGCGTTCTGGCCCTTTTCAACGACAATTTCGGGGGTTTCGGTGTGTCGCAGCACCTGAGGAGCCCCTGTAAATTTAGAAGTCAATTATAAATGAAAAAGACTGTGTTTCTTTTCTTATAGGCTTATAGATAATTGAATAAAATTGATCGACTTTTCCTTTTAACGTTTATGGGATAACTAAAATAAATTTAATGTTAGGAATAACCCGTTTTGATAAAATTAATTAAAGGAAGGTGAGAAAATCCAAGGAGATGGGTTGAAAATACAATTGAGCACAGTTAACGAGGCTGTTCTCCACCTTATCTCTTAAATACTGGAGTGGAGAATTGGGTAATTCTCCACAAATAAAATATAATTAGGGAAGGGGATACAATGCGGAAACTCCGGGGAAAATAATAGGGTGGGCCTCCTTAATAGATTAAATTTTAATACTTGGGTGATAAAATCAACGTTTACTACCACTTCGGTAATTGGTTTCATTTAAGCCTAAACTTCGTTAATAGATGCATAGAATGAAAAAATGTTTAATATTATCTAAATAAAGTTTCCCCTTTAAAAAATAAACTCGTTACCAAAGAAATAAGGTTTCCCTACACTATCTTCCCTGACCGAATTAATTTAAATTTATTAAAGGGTGAAAATTAATCATTAGCTTTTGAGCCCTTTCCCCTTTAAGTAGATTACTCTTCCCGCCCTTTCCATTTTTTATACTATTTTCCTCGTTTTAGCACAACTTTTTTATAATCTACCCTCGACGAGAACCCTTGAACAACTTATACAACTCCCACTTTTCTCGACGAATTGAATTTCACAAATAGAAGCTAATGAAATGAAAACGGTTTGCCCTCGCATTGTCCATTCCACCTGGGACGAGAGAGTGATGAATAAACATTTAAAGATTGCCAGGCCCTCAGTTACAGACCGGACCCTTTTTGCGGCCAGAATAATTTTCATGGTTTATCTCAATTCCCGCATCCGTTTTACTTCCACCAAGCGAAACACATAGGTGCAGGAAGTTAATTTTCAGTGAGTAACGGTTTTTGTAAACGAAACGTGTAGGATGTGGTTGGTATTCAAATTTCATGCTTAATTTTCATTTCGAAAATGTATCAACACTTACCAACCACTTGAAGAGCGATAGCTTCACTTTGAACGGTTCTTTCCAATCCACCGATAATATTGGTCACTTTACATACATATTCCCCCTGATAATCGTACGTGACGTTTGGGATATGTAGTCTCGCTTCGTGGCCCCTCTCGACAAATTTGTCAACCCGCGTTGTCAACCGCTGCAACCACTGATACGTGGGCTGTGGGTTTCCCTCTGCAACACATTCGAATGTTGCAGAATTGAAGAGCATTGCCGTAGTTAGCCGATCCGGGCCCACGCTCAAAATTTTCGGCGGATCTAAAACAAAGAGTTAATTAACGGTACCCAATTTAACGGAATTAACAAGCACCATTTCGATTTCGCTTTGGTCTTTGATTGGCCAACAATTAACCCGGTGAAACGAATTCTGCTAAAGGTACTAAAAGGATAAAAGGATGTTATGGGTACGGAGAAAAAAGTTTTAATTTATGCAAAAAAACATTTATTTTCTTAAAACTTTCAAAGAAAGCGATAAACCCGCGTTTGCACTCAAGGTTTCGAAGTAACGCGCGTTCAAATATATTCCTGTTAGGTTAACGTCAGCGGAGATAACGCTCTTTTATGGTCGTTTCAAAAACTTTACTGTAAAAACATTCTTTTTCATTCACGCTTGCAATATCATTAATTTTTAAAAACCTCTTTTCTATTCATGGTTTGCACTTTCATAAATATCATAGAAAATAACAATATTCATAAATGAGGATTTTTCGTACAAAATGTTATTTCATAACAGCTACAATTACCATGACTGGGTATTAATGTGGGTACTCTTCATCGAATGTGAAATTCAAAATTAGCACCGTAGTTATGAAACGGAAAACAAACTCATGTATATTAATTTTTATTTATTTTGCAAAATAATAAGCAAAGGAAGGAAACAGAATAAACATAATCAATTATTATTTTTGGGATGCATATAAGCTTAAAAAAGACAGAATATCTAGTGATTAATAGCGATGCTAAATTTCAAATATTAATTAATGACGACACAACAATTAATCAAGTTGAAGAATTTGGGAGTAATTGTAGATAAGAATGGTATAGAGGGAAGAGAGATAAAACATAGAATAACTGAAAGCAGGAAAATTATAGGATAACTCTAAAAAGAGACTAGGACTGACTCTAGTCCTGGGCTATGGGTAGTAAACGCAGATCTAGAAAGACGGCTTCAGGCTGTCTAGATGGACTATTTGAGAAGAAGTGCCAGGGTATCAAGAATGCTACGAATAACTAATGATGAAATTGGAAATCGCATGAAAACAGTGATAGACAGAATCAAAGTAAGAGGTTTACACGGTTTGAACACCAGATGAGGGTGAATGACAATAAGGAAGAAGAAACGTGGAAGACCGAGAAGATCCTGGAATGAAGGTATCCCAAAGGCAATGCGAGAGAATCAACTCAGGCTAGAGGATACGCAGGATAGAGAGACTCAGAGAAAGGAAGTAGACAACGCTTAGTTGTAATTTGATGGGTAACATTTGTTGATGTGTACTAATTAGGTGATTAGTTTGTAAAGAGACAATGGAAAATCGAGAAACCTAGAACTAAATTTCGAAGAGCTTAACCTAAGGGATTTACCGTGGTATGTTATGGTTCTTGACAAAGAAAGGTTGTTATGATAATTTTTCTGGAACAACTAGAATTTCAAAGCCTATAAAATACTATGTGGTAAAAGGTTGAGTATGTTGGTGATATACACAAACGAATGGATCAAATTGAGAAAGTTCAGGATAGAACAAAAAGCTACCGGATGAAACTGTTTAATGCTGACTGTGACCAAGCAAATACAAAAGTACTATGTATTACAAGTATAACAAAGTACAATGAAACAAGAAGATAACCGAAATAGTAGAAAAGGTTTTCATACGAACGACGAAAAAAAATACACGCCTAGATTGGCAGATGTACAAATAGAGGCTATACTACAGGAAAAAGAAGAAATCATAAAACTGATCTGGTATAAATACATCATACGAAGGATGTTCAAAAATGCAATGAAGGATAGAAGTCAGTATCAGGCCTTATCTGAGAACTATTGAAACAAAAAGTATGATTAGAAGAATATAAATGAGTGTTTTTAGAAATGAGAGTATTGTGGTCAATAAGGAAGAAGAACTAGATATCCAGGAGTTATTAGATTCACGACAACAAAACGAAATACTGGAGAGTATTCATGTTGCTCCTATGCCAATGGATCTCTATGGCCTTTCCATTTTGATTTTGATAGGTCCTATCAAAATCTATCTCATCCCTCTATATGGCAATGCTTTGCGACTGCCGATTGCTGGACTGTATACATTTGGAGATCGCTTTCCTCCTCCTTGATGCATATTACGTTCAATTTGGCCAACGTAATACTTCCCACAACTGCATGATAGCCGAGAAATTTTCGCTCCTAATGGAGTTAGCTTATCTTTAGAAATCGGAAAAGGCTTGGTAATCAGGAAAAATGCAGAGTGCCATAAGAACTTTGTACTTTCAATTAATAAAAGACCATCGCATAAGCTTGAAGGCCAAAAATATGTTGTTTAGTATACTGTTATAATATATGATAAAGTATGATAGTTTATATAAAAGCAAATCCAAGTTGATATCTCTTACAGAACTTAGGAAAAAGGTATAATGGCGAAGATTGAAAAAAGTGGTTCCTTTAATTGGTGGACTAAAGGTTTAGGCTTACAAATTTTGGAATTCACTATACCTATAGAAAGTTTAGTAATTATGTCATCTAATTATTTGTTAATGGTTTAGCAAAAAGTCACATTTTGGTGATCAATCGAATTTATTCTCAACATTCAATAAGATCACCCAGTTTCGATCCGGCTCTTATCCAAAAAAGATATTAAAATTTATCCAACCTAGTTCTCAATTCTGTATATTGNTTTTGCAAAATAATAAGCAAAGGAAGGAAACAGAATAAACATAATCAATTATTATTTTTGGGATGCATATAAGCTTAAAAAAGACAGAATATCTAATGATTAATAGCGATGCTAAATTTCACATATTAATTAATGGCGACACAACAATTAATCAAGTTGAAGAATTTAAGTATTTGGGAGTAATTGTAGATAAGAATGGTATAGAGGGAAGAGAGATAAAACATAGAATAACTGAAAGCAAGGAAATTATAGGATAACTCTAAAAAGGGACTGGGACCGACTCTAGTCCTGGGCTATGGGTAGTAAACGCAGATCTAGAAAGACGTTTTCAGGCGGTCTAGATGGACTATTTGAGAAGACGTTCCAGGGTATCAAGAATGCAACGAATAACTAATGACGAAATTCGAAATCGCACGAAAACAATGTCAACAGTGATAGACAGAATCAAAGTAAGAGATTTGCGTTGGTTTAGACACCTGATGAGGATGAATGATAACAAGGAAGAAGAAACGTGGAAGACCGAGAAGATCCTGGAATGAAGGCATCCCTAAGGCAATGAGACAGAAACAACTCAGGCTAGAAGATACGCAGGATAGAGAGACTTGGAGAAAGGGAGTATACAACGCTTAGTTGTAATTTGATGTGTAACATTTGTTGATGTGTACTATCTAGCTTGCTCAATCAATCACATTGCTGATTGTTTTCATTTATATTTACTTTTTCCTTTTTTTTCGTTTAATTACGTGATTAGTTTGTAAAGAGACAACGGAAAATCGAGGAAGCTATAGAACTAAATTTTGAAGAGCTTAATCCAAGGGATTTACCGTTGTATGTTATGGTTTTTAGACAAAGAAAGGTTGTTATGATAATTTTTCTGGAACAACTAGAATTCCAAGGCCTATCAAGCAGTATGTGATGAAGAGCTCTATGATGAAGAGATGGACATAGAAAAGGTTGAATATGTTGGTCATATTCAAAAAAGAATGGATTAGATTGAGAAAGTTTAAGAAAAGAACAAAAGGCTACCGCATGGAACTATCCTAGGTGGTAAAAATGGTTTGAAGCTGACTGTGACCAAGCAACTGCAAACGTACTATGAAACAAGAAGATGACCGAAACAGTAGAAAAGGTTTTCATACGAACCACGAAAAAATTATACACGACTAGAGCATATCCATAACAAAAACATTAGAAGATGTACAAATATAGTCTATACTACAGGAGAGAGAAGAGATCATAAAACTGATCTGGTATAAACACATCATACAAAGAATGTTAAAAAATGTAATTAAGGACAGAAGCCAGTATCAGGCCTTATCTAAGAACGTCTGAAACAAAAAGTATGGTTAGAAGAATAGAAATGAGTGTTTTTAGAAATAAGAGTATTATGATCAATTAGGGAAAATAACTAGATATCCAGGAGTTATTAGATTCACGACAGTATTGGTAGACTGGAGGACGATAATTGCTCTTTAGCTCATGTTAACTGGAAACGACATATTAACTGGAACGGCAAGAGAAGTTCGGGGGCAGAAAACTTCGTCTTCTCTATTTACTACTTATCTATTTATATTGTTCTTATGCCAATGGATCTCTATGGCCCCCCTATTTGATTTTGATAACACCTTGGTCCTATCAAAATCTATCGTATCCGTCTGTATGGCATTGTTTTGCGACCGCAGATTGCTGGATTGTATATATTTGGAGATCGCTCCCCACCCCCTTGATGCATATTACGTTCACCTTGGCCAACGCAATACTTCCCACAACTGCATGACAGCCAATAAATTCTCGCTCCTAATGGAGTTAGCTTGTCTTTAGCAATCGGAAAAGGCTTAGCAATCAGGCAAAATATACATTCTATAGAAAAGATGAGAACCTGCCATAAGAACATTGTACTTTCAATTAATAAAAGCCATCGCATAAGCTTGAAGGCCAAAAATACGTTGTTTAGTATACTGTTATATGATAAAGTATTGTAATGGAAAAATATCTTTATAAATTCTATAAATTAAACCTTATGCAATCTTACGCCAAAGAACGGAAATATCATATATTGTTGACGACAGCAATTCGGCCGTCGAGGTAGGTAATAGGAATAAGTAGAATAGAATAGAATCAGGAATGTTAAGCAAAATGTCGCGGGTAAACTCGCGACCGGAGTAATTGTAGTAATAAAAGGGGAATAAAATAAATAAGTTTTAAAATTAACACTTTGTGTTTAAATTAAATTCTGATAAATCCAAACAGACTCAAAATAAATCTATAAAGTAAAGACATTACAGTATGATCTTTAATATAAAAACAAATACAAGTTGATATCTCTTATAGAACTTAAGAAAAAGGTATAATGGCGAAGATTGAAAAAAGTGG